GGGGTGTGGAGGGGGAGGAGGGGGAAGAGGAGGAGGAGTCGTCGTCGCCGCCGCATAGTCCTAGCCTGCAGTTAGCCACGCCAAGCCTAGCCTGAAAATGTAACAAAATCCCTCTTGCCGACCCGCGCATTTTCGGCATTGACCGCCCTTGGAAATGAAGTGTGTGTGTGTACTCCACCGACGTCTACCAAACTCCTTAGGAAAGAGTCGTGGTGCGAAATGAGAAAAGCAAGTCACAGGCAGGCACGCGCGGATACTCCAGATTTTCAAAACACCAAATCACATCCATGCTCATCTAGCGTTCGCAATCAGGGATGAGTGTTTTCTTTGTCTGCACGGGGCACCTTGTCCCGGAGCTGGACGACAGCTCGTGTCCTAGCTCCCTGCCCACCCCGCTGTGGGCTTTCAGCATTTCCGTGCTGCCGTCCACACCGTAGAAGGCACCCTTCTTTCCTGGGCCCGCCCTTGTCCCTGGTGGCCTGGTCTTAACCATCTTGTCCCGAGGAGGTGTTGCAGCTGGACAGGCTCCCTGTCGAGGCTGGCGTGCCACGCGTAGCCACGCGGGGGCAGCAGAGACCGCCGTCCCCACAGCCCCGTGGGCCGTGCGTGGCTCCTGAAGTGCCAGCGAGTGCACTAGCGGTGAGCCGGTGTCCCTTCGGTGAGGGCCACTGCCATGGCTTTTAACTGGAATACAGGTCACAGGACAGCATCACAGCTTGGGGGCGGGGCAGGGAGACTTCCTCACCAAGGACGAGCGGCCACGGGCCCCGAACCCAAGGGGTCATAAGATGCACAGGTTTAATAGTTGGGCAAATATCTGAGGGTCGTTCGGCCGCTCTCCTTAGGACCTGGAGGGTCATTTTTAAGTATTGAATGACCACTGGACACTTCCCCCCAGGAGACAGCAAAGGTGAGAGGAAGCCCCTGGCCTTGGACCACATGTCCCTGGGCCCGGGGCATGGTTCCGGGCCACTGTGCCGGCGCAGGATGTGCCTTGAGGCCTGTCCCCTACCAGGCCCGTCCCCTTTCTCTTCCCCAGGCCGACCCCTGAGTTCTCCCCTTGGGGGTGCCGCTTTCCTTCTGCAGCCCCGGGCCGGGCGTCGGGCGCCCCCACACGGCTCACCTGGTAGGTTCTGTCTGGGCGTCTGTCTCAAATTGATCTGGCTATGATCCCCCCACCGACATTTTCTGCAGAGAAAGGGCAGGGGCTGTCCTCTGCCGCAGTGCCACGCAGTGACATTTCTGCCCGCGGCCTGGCGCCCTGTGTCTAGAATGTCCAGCGCGATGACCCCGGTCCGACTCACTCTTTGGATTCACAGCAGCTCGGTTTTCCCTAATAACAGCGGGGAGCTGACGAGGGTGGGAGCAGGGGCTGTCACCAGAGCGAGGCCCCCAGCCCCGCAGGCTGCCCGTGCCTTCCTGTGTGCAGGAAGGACCCACAGCGGCCACAGTGTCCCGAGCCAGCTGCCGCCATGGCACCAGGGATGGGGGGAGGGAGGCACAGGCCGGGGGCTGGCCCGGGGAGGGCGGGGTGGACCAGGTGCCCGGTTACTGCCCCATTCCAAGCTTCCTTCCTTAGCTGTGCCTCCGGCGTGTCCGTTGCTGGGGGCGCGGCCGTACCCCGAGGAGCTCTTCTCATCAGGGGTCAACTAGCCTGGTAGGTAATTAACCTTTACTGCCGGTTACTCACGGCTGCCTTCAGGAATGGCCCGTTCAGCCTGCTCCCTGGAAGGCCCGTCTCTGACGCCCCCGCGTCCCGTTCCCACGTGTCCCTCCGCCTCTCCTCAGATGTCACCGGCCCAGCGGGGCTCCCTGAGCCCCCTCTCGAAGCGCGGCCGCCGCTTCCCGTTCTGTCCCTGCTCCCTACTTTACTCACTTCACGTCACTTATCGACACCCACCGCGGTGCGTGTGCAGCGTACATGCCGCACACAGTGTCCGTGCACATAACAGTGTCCCTCGGTGTCCGTGGGGCGGGGAGGACGCCAAAACTCGCCACACTCAAGTCCCTCGTGAAGCGGTGCGTATTTGCGCGGAGCCCACGTGTGCTCGCGGTCATCCCCCGCTCGCCCGTCACACCTAAGGACGGGGATGTGGGGCGAGTCTGCGCCCAGGACGCGCGCAGCACCGCGCGCACCG